AATAAATAAATATTAAAAAAATAAATGAAGGACCATTTTGTAGCAAAATAATATATAAATCCATATATAGCTACACATATATAGATATATATATCTACATACAAAATAGGATAGATATACAGCTACTTTCTCTTAATTCAATACTAATAGTGTTTGGACAGGATATCATGTCTACATCTTGTACTATGAATAACTACTACAAAGATAACAATATGCAATGTATTTATTGTAACTGTCCTAACCTGTGTTGAAACTGTCTCATTGCTATTCGTTTCTCAATAAAATTAATAAAGAAAACTCAAACACAAAAACAAAAGCCATAGGGTAGAAGAATATATTTGTAAATAATGTATCTTCATTTAAATATGTGGATGTTGAAAACGTGATAATATGGACAACTACATGGAAAACAAAAACAAAAATATATAAACACAAACTGCAGTCATAAAAATTAACTCAAAATGTACCAAAGATGACAACAGATCTAAATATAAAATGAAAACAATAATTCACAGAATATGAGAAATCTGTATCACTTGCAATGATTTTTTTTAAAATGTGACACTATAAGCATAACCGCGTAAGCAAACACTAATAGGTTGAACTTAATTAAAATTGAAAACTTCACTGAAATTAGACATGAAAGAAAATATCAAAGAATATAAAGTCCAGCCACAAACTGGGAACCAAGTTTTTAGAAGTCATATCTGATATGGGATTGTTAAAGATCCTAAATGTCACCAATAAGAAATGAACTCAATTAAAAAATGGACAAAACAACTGCAATGACATTTCATTAAAGATGATTTAAAGATGGCAAATAATCACATGCAAATATACTCCATATTTTATCAGTTAAATGCAATTTTGGCAAGTTCTTAAAAGTGAAATATATTTTTACCATATGATACAGTAATTACTTTTTGGTATTCACCTAAACGAGCTCAAAACATGTATACATAATCTGTAAACAAATATTTATAGCAGTTTTATTCATAATTGTCAAACATGAATAAACCAAGATGTCCTTGAAACTGTGGTACATTCAGATAATACAATATTATTTAGAATTAAAAAGAAGTAAGGAGTCAGGTATGAAGATGCACAACTGTAATCCTAGCACTCAATAGGCTGAGGCACAAGGATTGCTGCAAGTTTGCGGGCAGCCGGGGATACATACTGAATTCAAGGCCAGCTTGTAACTATACAGCAAGAACATGTCTCAAAAATCACCTCCCTCTACAAGGGCCCAAAATCCCACAAAACAAACGAATGAATGAATAACCCAAGGAAACTAAAATCCATATTGCCAAGGCAAAGATGCCAATATTAAAAGGCTATACATACTATATAATTCCAACTCTATGATATTCTGGAACATGTAAAAACTATGGAGATAATAAAAATGTTAACAATTGCGAGGGGTTAGGGGAAAGTTGAATAGGCAGTGCAAAGATTTTTTAAAGCAATGAAATCTTTCTGTATAATATCATAGTTGCAGACACATGTCATACATTTGTGTAAGCCCAAAGAAAATGCAACACCAAAGGTGAACCCTATTTGGGCTTAGTTGCATGTCTGTAATCCTAGCTAGCTACCTGAGACACATATGGAAGGTTGAGGATGGCCAACACAACTGAGTGAGATCTTATTTCAAAAAATGGATCAAGCATGTAGCTTAGCAATGGAGTACTCCTGGATTTAATTCCTTTTATCAAAAACCAAACCAAACCCAAAACGAAGCCCCCAAAACAATGAATCCTAATGTAAATAATGAATAATAATGATACATTGATGTGGGTTCATTAATTCTAAAAAATAAGATTCATTCTGGAAAGGGATATTGACCGCTACTGAAATTACTTTCCTCTTAATTTTGCTGTAAGTCTAAAATAGCTCTGAAAAATAAAACTCTATCTGTCAAGAAAATGAATGAAAAAGTTATGTGTGGGGGTCTATTTTGAAGAAACACTTCAGAAAAAAAAAAAAAAAATTGAAAAACCCAGAAATTTAAATCACACATATCACTGAACATCTGTTAGAAAATCTAAAATTAAAATGACTGCATTCTAAGTTGGTAGTATGTAAGGCAACTGGAGCTCTCCTGAGCAAGAGAACAGTGATGGCAGTAAGATAAAGAGGCTAAATAGTGGTAATCGTAGGTGAGAAGGTAAGGACAGGCTGAGTGAGTACTGATGGCAGGTAAGACAAAGATAGGCTGGTGTTTTTGATCTCTAATTTTAGATGAGTGATGGACACATAAACTGGTTCTTTTAAGCAAGTATGCAAACAGTTAAGTAGTCTCATAGATTGGATGAGTGGCCCTTGACTACCAAGAATCCTCTGAAATTATCTTCAGTGGGGTAGCAAAGTTTTTCAAGGTATGCCTAAACAAAATAACTAAAGCTGGAATTCCTAATAGTCAAGAAGACTTCTGGGCCGGGGAGATGGCTCATTAGAATAAGCGCTTGCCTGGCAAGCGCAAGGGCCTGAGTTCAACCTCCAGTTCCACCAAAAACAAAAGGGAAGACTTCTAATAGAGTAAAGTACAGATAGGTACAAGAGTTCCTGGTCTTAAAAAGTGAATCAGAAAAAAAAAAAAAAAGTGAATCAGATAAAACCAAATTCAACTCATAGCAAAAATGTAGGTTTCTGTTCTAAATGTTGACACTGGAAATGTTGACCTTAGGATAAGGCACAATGTTCAGAATTCACAGTTAAATAGTATTTATATTCATCAGTTTTTTTGTCTAACAACAGAAAAATATAAAGCAATTTTACTTCTGACCAGAAAATCCCAACTAAGTTCTTAAAAGGTTCATTTCTCTTATTACTGTAAATTAGATTCACAAAAGAAAAAAAAGGATGACACTATGTCACTGATGCATACGGACAGTAACAATGTGGAAATAGCTCTACACAAGGTGACACAAAGAAATGGTAATCAGAGAAATCAGGTTTTCATTCATGTATGCAATTACTCATCTCAGAAATATGAAGGCAAGGGGCCAGCAAGATATAGCTCAGCAGCATTAGTGCCTCCCTGGCAAGCACAAGGTCCCAAGTTCGAGCTCCAGTACAGCAAAAAAATAAATAAATGAAAATAAACAAACAAAATGCAACTCTTAAAAAAAAATATGAAGGCAGTAGTCAAAGAGGCACAATTGATACTGTACAATTGATACTCTGCACAATTGATACTGTGTTCCTTGCAAAGAACACGCACCCAAACTGCAGCATGTATCAGTCTTTGGGGAGGACCACCTGGGCAACACTCCTTGAAAGAGGAGCAACTGTCTCCATTTTGGCTGTGCCTGACCCTATTTCTATGTATTGATAGGTACAGAGCTGGCTATGACTTTTCCTTATTTTCTCAATTGGCTTTAAGCAATACATATCAGTCTAGCCAAGGTGTTGGTGGTAGTCTATGAAGACAGGTGTTTCGCCAGAACCCCTACCTGCTGTTCTCTAGCATAAGCTGGGTCAAGAGGGAAAAGAGCCAATGTTCCACACTGTCAGCTGGGACTGAGCTCATGACAGAGGCTATGACTTCCTGGGGTTTGAAAGATTACACATTTGGAGCTGAAGCACTGACCCCAAAACCTTATATACATACTATCTCAATTGTGTAATGCAGATTATTCTCTGCATATCCTTCTCTGCATGTTGCAGAGGTCAGTGCAGGCCTCCTACCTAGCATAGCTCACAGCACTTACCTACCTCCTGCCATTCTCACAGTTACTCATCCTCAGGTTGAGCCTTTGTTCTGAGTAGCCATCATTATGGCTAGACTTAGGACTTCTTGGCTCCTCCAAAACTACATATAAGCCTTAGTGTCTTTATTCTTGCCATAGGTTGCACTGAAATTGGTAGAATGTAATTAACTTCATGGAATTCTAATAACGTATCCATGGGATTACAAATATAAACTTCCTAGACCAAGATGAGGACCAGAAAGGGCTCTCTATAAGTCCTGAGGAAAAAACTATAAAAATAATTTCCCCTGGAATATGTAGCCCTATATAAAAAGTAAACTTGTAATACTTAAAAACAAATCCAATAAAGCATATATTTAATAGAGAAGGAATGTGCACTGAAGCATCACAAGGGGCAAGGGAACTCTGACAGTGTTACAGGGACTGCTGTCTTCCCTGTAATGATGACTGTTTCATTCATGTATATCCTTGTGCCAGCACTTGCTAACTTTACATTTTAGTTTCATGCACTTGATGTCATTTATATCTAAGTAAAGCTGTTTTTCTTCTTTAAAAAAAGAACAGAAAAGTAGTCCAAGCAAAACAAGTAAGGACACATATGACATGATAGGCAACACTTTTACTAAATTTCCTGAAATTTCTGTGGGTCTTTGTTGTAACATTTAAACATTCATTTGCTATTGCCAAATTTCAAAGGAAAAACTTCATTCACAATATCCTTTTACGGAAAAATGCAGTATTTCATCAAAATTTACATAGGAAGCAGAAATTTGAAAGAAACTGCTCAAGCAGGAAAAATGCTAATTAATGTCTTTAGGCATAAATAATCCTTTTACTGCTTTTTATGAATCAAGCAACTGCAATCTATTAAGTCTCTTTTAAAAGGATTCCTTTTCTCCTTGAAGTGACCTAATCTGTTCCAGGTTTCATTATGGATTTAATCAGTGCTCTCATTATGATGACTGGTCAGAAAGGAGTACTGGCCATCTACAGAAGAGTCAGTTTGCCAACAAGTAATGTTCGATAGCTCTAGATGTAAAGGCTCACATTGATAAGACAAACAGTGTAAAGAGAAATAGTATTCATTTTAAATTGTCATTTACTTACATCTTAGCACTTCAACAATCAAATCCACATCAGTACTGAGCTTCTTGATATGGTCAAGGTTAGCTACAGTTGTAATTGGCACATATTGATCACTATCCATCTGTGATATAAGATACATGTCACTAGCAAGATTCTCCCTGTTGAAAGAAAATAGTTTCTTTTAGTTGATATTTCTTCAAAAGAACCTGAAACTACAGCAATAAGAGATACCTTGGCATGATATAGCTTTGGAGTATGTCTAAGTCCAAGACCCATCTGTTGCTTGTTCTCCCTGCCCTTGAGTACATTTTTTTTTTTTCAAACTCTCTAGGAAAAGTCGAGAAAGCAAAAAAAACAAGTATACTGTACTTTATGCAAGCAAAATTAATGAGCAGCCAGGCATGGTGGTGCATACCTATAATACCAGCACTTGGGAGGATCAAGTAGGAGGTTCACTAAAAGTCTGAGGTCTGCCTGTGCCATAAAATAAGTTCTGAAGCAGCCTGAACTAGAGACCTTATCTAAAAAACCAAGCCAAAACAAACAAACAAAAAAACAATAACAAAACTAATGAGCAGATTAGCTGTTTATATGACGTAGTTACAGCACCTTGAAGTACTTTATTAAAACTAGAGAAATTTTGGGGCAGCAGAGATAGCCCCGCAGTCTAAGTGCCTGCCTGGCAAGTGCAGCCAGGTTTGATCCCTGGTACCATGAGCCGTGCTGGCCCTGTGCCAGGAGCACCCTGCTGGCCACGGAGACTGGGAGTGGTGGTGCTGAAACAGGAGGATCACCGGGAGTCTGCATAGTGAAATTCTGTACCAAATACATAAATAAAAAGATTTTAAAAAGAGAGAAGTTTTTTAAAAAAAGAAAATCCAGTTGAATGAGTAAGAAAGGTAAGAAAATTTTCAAAAGGTCTGAATAAAGTCAGTACTCAAAATCTTACTGCAAAGTCTGGAACACTTGGTAGAGAAGCTGCAAAACAACTGGCTCTGGTTTTCCGATAGCCAGAGTTAAAAAGAAAGCAATAAGGTTAGTAACTTTATCCACAGGGTGAAAAGGTAAGCCACCAATGATAGCAGTGCAATACAAGATGGGTTATTTATTGGTATTCTGGTCTAAGATACTGGTTTCCTGTTATTCTGAAGAAAAACACAATGTATGATAAAATGAAGAGGGCCCTCAAAAAAGCATCTGCAGTTAAGATGCAATGAGTTTCAAAGGACCCCTTCTTGGGCCAGAGAGATAGCTCAGTAGAATAAATGTTTGCCTAGCAAGCGCAAGGGCCTTGCGCCCAAGTCCCGCAAAAAAAA